ATACTAGAGTGTTTCCTGTTTCTTTTTTTTTTTTAAAAGAACAAAAAGATGTTGTGACAATTTAAATCATTGGAGACTTGTCTCAATCCATTACTACCCGTCGGGTCTGGTATTGTTCGACTTTGGATTACAAAATGAATTTTTTTTAAAAAAAAAAAAAAAAAAAAACTGATTCTTATATTAAAATTTAATTACTTAGCACCACAAAAGTCAAACCTAACTCGGTTAGCTTTTCTTGGCAATTCGGCAAAAATCTGATGATGAGGAAGAAAATTGTTACATTATTACAATCAGCTTGGAGGAAACTCTTGAGTCTGAGATCTTCCAAAGTAAAGGCTGTGCCATCTTTAAACTATCTGTTACTACCATCATATCACTATTCTATCATCATTATATATTACATCCTAGAAACATGATTTTCCTAAACTAGAGAAACATACTACAAATTCAAAATAGAGATACATACATTCCTATCAGACCCTGTTTCTTGGTCAAGAAGGACTCAAAAACAGCCTCCGTGTGATGTTAAGTCATCAAATGGTAGTAACCCTGATTCAAAATGCTAAAATCATCTATACTTTGATCAAGCGATTGTATTTTGTTTCCTTCTCTTTTCCAGAGTTGTGTTTTCCTAAAGCTAATGCCATGCCTTGGATTTTTTAACAATGGAGTTGGAATGGGCAAGCTCCAAGCAAAGTGCATACCAGTTAGCTGATGCCTGTCTGCATTACAGGGAAGGACCAATTCTTAGTGGCATTGGCCCCATCATCCTTCCCAACAACCTCTTCATTGGCCCACCAATCTGAACTTACAGTAGGCTTGTTGGAATCTACTCCGTCTGTATTGTCAAAATTAAATTCCTTAATTGACCCAAGAGTGATGGACCGATGTTTTTGGTGCCAAAGTCGCGTGCCTTCATCTGCTGGGGCTTTCTCTGGTGTCTCATTGGATGTTTCACCAACACGAAACTCATGATTTTCCACCACTTCACCAACACGAAATTCATGATTTTCCACCACTTCACCAACATTTTCCCTCCTTTCAGCCGTTGTTTCATTCTGTAGAGATTCTGATACAGCTTCTGACAATGTGGCTGTCTTCTTTTCCACAAACCTTACATCTTCAGCAGTTAACTCAAAAGAAACTCTATGATTGACCACAACTTGGTCATTTTGGCAACCAATGTCTAATTGTGGATGAGATGCAACCTTAGGGAGTTGATAATCCAGGAGAAAACCATTGCAAGGAGTTGACCTTGTAGCATCTGGGGTCAAAGTACCAGAACCCTGACGTGATCCCCATTCATGGCTGGAAAGCTTATCAAGGTTCAAAAGCTTGGGAGGGCCACATATTCGGAACTCAGGAAAATGTATGCCAGCAGCTGTAAATTCACCATCAGGGAAAGGAGATGATGTACCAGAACCTGAGATGCCAGAGCTTGGAGAGATAAGTTGCCCAACTGGGCTTCCAGGATGAAATTGATAAGAATGGAATTCATAAGGAGATAGTGGGAATCCCTGACCAGCCTCCCCATTCCGGAGGTGGGGGTCAAGCAGCTGAGCAAATGGCACCTCAGGAGAGGAAGGTGTAGTCAAGTGCACAGATTCAGGAGGAGGAGTAAAGGGAGCAGTTGAAGGTTCGGTGGTAAATGTTGAGAAAACAGGTGGTGAAACTAACTGGGTTTCATGAGCATAAGGTCCAATGGCAAAAATAGAAGGCCGCCCACCTGGAGAGTACATGCTGGAAGACATAGAGTTGAGGGACAGTATACCCGCTGGAGACTGTGTAACAGAAGGAGGTTCTGATTGCAGGAAAGACACAGGAGAGGAGGGAGGTGCTACAAAGGGGAGCACCACAGTAGTTGTCTGGGTTGTAATTTCAGCAGTAGACCCATTAGTAGCAGGTGCTGTCATTTCAGGAGCAAGGACAGCATGCCCAATTCGCTTTCTTTGTTTGTAAGCTCCAAAACACCAGTACAAGCTCCAGCAACTTCCCCATCTTCTCTTCTGAATGTCACCAAATGTAAATTAGAACAAATTATATGGGAATTTACACCAGATACCTCTACAGATACCAGCAAGAAGTCAAATAACTGAGAACAATTAATAAAAATATGATTAAGAGAAGAACAAGTCCATCAAAACATATAAATTAAAATCAGGCTTCCTTCCCCTGTACCAAACTTTGTTCATCCTCCAAGATATAAACACAGAATCATATAGCTATATTGTATTATTAGGAGAATGTAAAAATTTCTGTCAAGATTTGGAAACAGCTATGACTCTGCATGCTGTAGTGTTAGCAAATATGCACACAAGTAAGCCTGTTTGTGTTCTGAGCATCAGCACAACCAACCTTAGAACATGAAGGCTATCATCTCAAGTGTATGAAATACAAATTGGTGACATATATGTTCAAAATTCTTTGGAATCACCATACAAGCAAGACCCACTCTGTTTTTTTTATTGTAAAGCTTTAAACTTAAAGAGTGTAACCCAACTCAACCTTGCCCATCATCACCTGAACAGTCATGTTTGATGGAAAATTATATTTGACATTGATTACAATAAAACTCTTTATTTGAGATCCAGCAACTTCAAGGGAAGATAAGAAATCTAACTTTAAAGAGAAAGGAATCCTCCCCCAATTAGAAATTTTCAAAATTTCAGCTTTTATCTTTCAGAAATCCAGCATTCCAAAATCACTGTTTCATCAAGGAAAACATTATTAGATTCCCATTTTTTTTCCACATAAACATTATACGATTCTTGAACAGGTAGAAACTTCTTCACAAATTATATAAATCTAACAAAAGCTTGAGCTGTACTCTTCTTTTTTTTTTTCTTTCTTTCTTAAAAAAAAAAAAAAAAAAAACTTTCACTGCTCCAAGAAGCAAAAATCTGCATCGATTTTTCTTAGAGATTAAAAAAAAAAAAAAGCGCGAAAAAATAATACCTAAAATTAACATTTGACTCCAACAAAATCAACAAAACCAATATCTCGAAATTTCATTCGAAATCAGATCTCAGTTCTCAAATAGAATCTTTTCAAGCTTAAACACTATCAATATCGAATTGATTCAAAAATGAGCAGAACCAGATTAAAATAAAATAAAAAAAACACAAAAACGAAATAAAATGAAATTGCTTACCTGAATCGTAGCCCGAGGAACACGGTTCTCAGTTGACGCGATCGCGTTAGCAGCAGCGTTTATGGTCTCTAAAGGATTGTTCGTAGTCGTATCTCTCCCATCTCCGTTCATGCCTCTCATCCCTGCTTTTCTCGCGAAACCAAACAGCTCAGCAACAAGATTTCCCCGGAAAATGTCGAATTTTCCCGAGAAAAAAAAAAAAAAAAAAAAAAAAAAGCTCTCAAGAACAAAAAACTGTTGAGCTGTGATTTGTTAACAGAAGCTCAAACTGAAAAAGTAAAACAGAGATTAGGAACAGAGATCGCTGAAAATCTTTACATTAAATAAATTTCTTCGATGAAGATTTATTATATGAATAATTTTTTTTGTTTTGAAATTTTTAATTGGGTAAATTTTGTGTATAAGCAAACGCCTATGGAGGTCAAACACGGCAACGACTTGATTTCGAGAGATGAATATTAGGTAATTAACCATAATTGCTATTTTGACCTTGTGTTCTGCTTTTATTTGCTGGACGTACCTTTGGAAGGAAATTAATGCCACTTGACAATTCACGGGATGGTTTACTTACAAAATAAATAAATAGATAAGTAGGTATGACAAAAAAATAATATAAAAGTTTGTGTAATTTGTAT